TGAAATTTCCTCGGCGAAATCAGCGGGGTCGGAGCATTAGCCGTAAACTCTTTAAGGGATTTGCGTAAGACTGTTTGGGAAGAAATTCCCGACGCTAAAACAACTTCAGGGCGAGCGGGGAACCTGCTTTTTTTTTCTTTTTTTCTTTCTTTCCTTCTTCTTTTCTTTCCTTTTTTTTTTGTTTGTTTTTTTTTTGTTTGTTTGTTTGTTTTTCCTAAAGATCTGGTAATGAGGGCAACCTGATTTTCATTATTATTTTTGGTATCTTTTGACCAAGAGTGTTTTGACTGCTGAAGCTCCGAATATTTTCACGAAATAAGCCCCTTTTGTTAAAGGTTAAGGCGCTTCTGCTAGAAACGCTTGGCGAAGCCCCATAGTTACTAACGTTGTCACAAAACGATCATTTGCACAAACGTTTCTGCTACAGTTGCCTTCCAAGCAACTTAAGAGGGAAAGGAAAGGTACTTATCTCTTGCCCTAACTTTTTTCTTTCCACGGGAAGCTGTAGCGCTGTGATCGATAAAGGAGCATCCATACAATGACTTTTCTTCTTTTTCTTCTTCTTTTCTGATGGTGGATTCCCTGCGGGCAGGTTTCCAGGCAGACGCAAGCGCAGGATTCCTACCATGATAAAGGCAGAGAGCACCCCGAGGAAGGTGAGAAGTGCACCGTCCTGTCTCGCGATACGGTCCCTCCTAGTCCCCCCGTGAACCTCCGCGCGGTCCTCAAACTGGAGCTTGGTTTCTTTTGGGAAACATAAATTTAGTACCTTTTGGGGAAGGGGGATGCCAGGGTGCCTTCAAAGCGCATTTAAAAAGGAGATGAATGTGCGGCACGTTTATCTTGAGTGACCAAATGGTATTTCAGTTGTTTAGAAAGTGATAAGTAGGCCAAATGGATCTTCGCTGAAGAAATAACTATTTTTAGGATATCAGCTTAAACACATCTATCTCTTTACTCATACAGTGCAGCTGAGTTGTGTGTGTTCAGAAGCTCTGTGCTTCTTTCCCCATAGCCAAAGTCTGTTGCTTAAATCTCCTCTTCCACATCTAAGCCTGAACATACCTCTTGCTGTTTTTTAATGTACCAGCTGGTTAATTTTGATTGAGGAGGACAGAGGAAATAACAGAGTTCGTTGAATATCACTTAGGGAGCTGGACACGTGTACAAAGAATGTGTGTGGTGAAGGATGGGAGATTATGTTTAAAATTAAATGCTTATCATCGCAAACTAAAACATCATAAATTCCATATAAAGACAGGCACAGTTCAGTCCTGGTGCTTTCCGGGACTCTGTGGCGATCTTTCTCCAAATTGGTCATTAAACAGCCAAAAGCAATAATGTCCGTGCTCGTAGCTAGCATTTTGGCAGGGAGGGGGAGAAGGTCAGCTCTGTATAGTTTTCTTTTCAGCTTTGCATCCTCTTAAAACCTCACCTTCGAGTAGTATCATTGCCAACGGTCATATAGGTGAGAGACCTGTGCACCCCCCTTTGCAGGACCTGGACCCTAATTATTTTATTTTCTGACAAAATAGCCTCCCTCACTTGGCTTCCCTCTTGACTGTAGTGCCATGTGTGTTCAGCAACTCCCCCCCCCCCCCCCCCCCCCCCCCCCCCCCGGCCCCAAATCTTTAGGGTCTCCTTCCAAGCCAGTCCCTGCCCTCTAATCGTTGCTGGTGAGCGTGGCCAGAATGAATTGTTCGCTGCACACATTGGCTCAGCGAGAGAAGGAAATGATTATATCTAGTTATCACTACCCTGTTCCTCCCTTTCGTAACAATGATGTTGGAAACCCATGCTGGCGATACTTCTGAATCCACAAATCCTAGAGGGATGTATAAAATGGGGGAAAACTGCTACTTGGGAAATGTGATGTCATTGCTGATGTTTCTGCCTCGATTTGAACAGGGACTAGCAAAATAAATTGGTTACTCTGAGGCTATTCTGTATTTTAAGCATAAACTCCTCACTGAGAGTACTTGCTCCTTTAAGAATTAACTCTTCTTAAAAAAATGTTGTTACAAATTGCTGCGGACCACTTTCTGTCAGAGGTAATTTCCATGAGTAAGGAAACGTTTGCATGCAGAACATTTTTATGAATGCACAGTACCTGTTTAAGTGCTCTGACTTACAAGAAATGCGTATGTGGGGAATAATGTACTCATTGTTTCCTCTTCCATAGGAAAGCATCCAGACAGTGGCTTATACAGCAAGGGACCATCATACTCTGGTTATTCTGGGTATATCATGATGCCAAATATGAATAACGACCCGTACATGCCTAATGGATCTCTGTCGCCACCCATCCCCAGAACAGTGAGTTATCTCTTCCAAAGACCGGTTTTGGCGAGCTGGGTTTCCTCCTGTTCGGTCTGCAGTGTGTGTTCACGCCGGGGGTTTTTGGGTAGCTTCAGTTACGGTGAAGGTTGCGCCTCTGCTGTTCAGAGCCTTCGTCCAGTGGAGTTTGAGAGCTCTTAGAGGTGTTGGTGGCGATTGTGGTGGAAAAGCTGAGATTAACGTCTGCGGTGTCTGACGTCCTTTGAACAGGGCTGGGAGCTTTGGCGGGGGGGGGAGCCCTGGTTGACGACTGTAGGATAATGTATGGCGGAATGATGTAAATGCCATCTTTGTAGTGACTGGGACAGATGTGAATTTCCTGGCTTTAACTCTTCGTTTGTTGAGGAAAATTGAGGGCTGGAAGCAGAGCTGCTAAAGTTGCTTGTCAGTAAGATGAAAAGATTTGGGGTTGTTTTTTTTTTTTCCCCTTCAGATATGGCATTGCTCTTTGCTGCTTGATATTTATTTCTGCCATCAGTTGCCCTGCGCGAAGGCTTTATGTATCTGGCAGTATTGCTTTGAAACATACTCTGTATCTTCAGCCACAAATTGTGAAATGGTTGTTTAGGAATTAATATCAACCGTGATGCAATAGTTACAGCTTTCCTTTATGTTGTGGCGGGCACTGATTCTTCCAGGTTGGTCCCTCTGTTTCCATTGGTGTAGATGCACGTTTGATGGATTTCAATGTACTTTTAATTTTGGATAGTCAATTCCCACTTATTTTTATAAACCTCTTAGTATACGTATAGAGCCACGGGGAGGCAATGTTAAAATGAGCTGTGGGAATTACGTTAGTAGAACCGGAGTGGAGCAAGAAACGAATTTGCTTGTTTTGCTGAAAAAATGCCGCTGCAGTTGCGTGTGCTGTGGTATGAGAAGTTGGATGCTGTTACTTCCCTGTGATAAAGCAGTTTTCTGTCTTACTGGCTCTTAGATTTTTACTTGGCTGCCTCTGTCAAACAACTGGCATTATTTTGCTCTCCGACGTTCTTGATTTTTCTTCAGGATTGTGGGTTTTGACTTCAAAATCAAAAAACAGGGGGCCTAATCTGTATTAGTAATTTGACAGTAGCAAAGCATGTGAAATTAGTGGATGTTCGGATTTGGAATGACAGGGTGGTTTGGCACTGGGAAACACACGGATCGGCCCTTTTTATATGTCACCGTTTGCGTTAGATGCACAAACTCGTGCAATATATTGCTTTCTATAGCTCTGTTTTTAAAAAGGACCTTGTCTATGTATAAATTACAGTTCAGAGGCCTACAGCCATTTCGGGCGAAGCCCGCTGACCGCGGTCTGTTCATATTTGTTGTTGTAAATGCTGCCCTACAGAAAACTTCTGTTCGGATGTATTGTGGGGAAAAGGATGCAGCTTCTCAAGAGGGCACCGAGACTCAAACCTGCCCCTTTGAGGACCAGGAAACTTCAGACCTTTTTTTACCCCCCCCTTTCCCACGTTACCTTGGTAAGAAAGTCCCTAGTGCTGGTGTAAGGCTTTGACCAACAAAATTCGGTTTAATTATTCGCTGAGGGTTTTCTCCGCGTGTGTGTGCCGTGGGGCTGCCGCTCTTTACTGATCTGGCATCGACGCCCCCGGAATATCGGCTTCTTGCGGACGCTGTCTGCTCAGGTACTTGAGGAGGAAGCGTCCTGTGTGGGTACGTTGGAGGGGAGGAGGGGGGGAAACGCATCTGCTTTCTAATTGTAAAGCTGCCTGCCGAACATCTGAGGGGCTAATTTAGTTCAGTGTTGCTCTTGCATGTTAGAGCAGCACCACTGTTTCAGTAAAATAGTGCTGTTGCAGGGCTGTAATGTTGACATAAGCCTGGAGTTCTTTCAGTTTAACCACAAAGCTACACGCTTGAGTTATTAAATAATTTTTTTGTTTAATTGAACTATAATCTTTGTTAGTCTCCTAGCTGACAGCTGGGTTTTAACGCGCGCGAGATCAAAACGCCGCATCCAGGAGATGACATGCTCGCTCGCTTCATGGCTAACCACAGCTCCAGCCTCACGCGCTGCTGCCTGTTCACCTTTGCGGGGTCCCAACCGCCACCCCCCAGGTTTGCTCTTGCTCCCCTTTTCGGGGGGGACATGCCGGGGCTGGGGGCCAAGCAGCAGCCGAGATCAGCCAGCTCTGGAGGTGGAGGTCTCCCCTGGGGTGTTAGTCCCCGGCCATTTGTGAGTGGAGCAGCCCTGCAGTGTGTACCTGCGCCCTGCCATTTGCATGACAAAGCCGCTTCTTGTTGATGCATCTGTTGCCTGGAGGTGTTAGGCAGGATTAAAAAGCCGCCCTGGGGCGCTGAATCTTTTTTCCGCCCGGCGCAAACCCTTGGAAGAACCTGGCTGCCTGCAAACCGCCCAGGGGATGCACCCCCAGGGAAAGGTGGCCAGACCCAGGATGGGACCGCTCGCTACGCCAGCGCAGAGAGAGCAAAGCTTTCTTGGAATGGGAAAAAAGTTACTTTCACCAACATACGTAGGGGAAAAAAAAGCCTTTTTTAAAAAAAAAAGGCAAATGCTTTACATTCTTGCTCTGTAAAATTGAAAATACAAATCTGTAGTCAGACACAATGTGTCTAATAAGCATTAAAAGAAGAAAACTGTAGTGTAATTTCAGTGCAGCTTTTGGAGGGGAGAAGGATTTCAAATTTTCCTAAATCTGCTATTGTTAGAGTGCTCTCCACTTTCTTTTTTTTTTTTTTTAGTTTTTAAAAATTTTTAATTTTTTAGATTTTATTTTACTGGCAACTGATTTGCCTTTTACAGGTTGGATTTGTAGTAGCAGTAGAGTGTTAATTACAAGTTCAGGTACAACCCTCATGCGGCAGTACATTTTCTTATCAGATAGCTGGGTAAGTGAAAAAGCAAAGCAGTTGGTTTGGGTGGCTGCAGAAGTGGCACGTGATGGTACTAGAACCGCAGTAACACCTGGTGAACATGCATCCTGTGTGCTCGAGATATCTTTTGGTGGTTTCTCAGCATCGTGGGGGTACTGAAGATGGGAGATGGAGACAGCTGTTTGTTTTCTAACATGCGTGGGTTTTTTCTTACTTTTTCGTTAACAAGACTTGTTTTGGGGTAGCAAACCTTTCTCGTCTGTGTGATGGGAATGTGGGGACAAAGGAGGTGACTGAAGAAGAATCATTTCTCTGTGTCTTAAATTCATCCAGAAAATAATTTTGTCTTTGTTCCTCCCTCTTTCCCAATGAATTAAACTTTCTGTGGGAAGATAGAGGATTTCTGCAACCTCCCTTTTGTCTGTTCTTATCTGTTCTTGGGGTCTGGGTTTATTTCTTTGCGGCTAAACTGTCTCTTTGTAGCAGCTGGAGGTGTTAAATAGGTTGGAGGATACAATCTATAAACACCTTACAGCAACTTGCAAAACACAGCATAACCATTTGAAAACAATGAGCAATTCCGCTAAGAGGGTTTGAACACAAGGGGCAATGTTTATACACAGGACCCCCCTCCCCTGCCCAAGTTTTGGATATCCCTTGTGTGCTTCTGCATGGCAAGGGGTATGGAGATAGCTCCTGTCTTTAAGAGCTAACATCCCAGGAAAATTTGTGCAGATAATACGGACAGGATGAAGGGTGAGGGTAGAAATAGCAAGAATGAGTGGCTACAAAGCCTCAGTAAGAGGGGTTTATTTCCCTAGCTGCATCTTGCTGTCCCTGTGAAAGCAGGCTGGTTTGCTCGCTGGTGGGGAATTTTTGGGACCCCGAGGGGAATGTACAGGAGTGTTAGAGCTAGCATATCCAGCTGCAGAAGGACACGAACCTAATTTTTCACAATATTGTCTTTTCCTGAGAGTTAGCTTCTGCTGGATGTGCAATTGTAGGCACTTGCTGGGAGCCGTGGTCAGCTGAAAGCTCCCTGGCCCAATATGAAACGGGCTTTGTAGCACAGATGTTGGGGCTCAGCTCCTGCTCCGGTATCACCCATCAGAAAGCTTTGCACTAATTCCTGAGTTGGCGTCAGCGCAGGATGCTCTGAGGGCTGTAGGCAGCTGTGGTCCTGTCCCACGTCTCTTTCTTGCCCCTGCAACCCCAGACCTGTGCCTGAGGAAACCGGTTGCATGGGCAGCTGAGGGGCTGGACAAGCCAGAGCTGCTCACCCAGCACTGAGGCTTTGCCGCTTCACCCTGCGTGGCGCACGTCTTCTCAATGAAGTCGAATGATGCCGATTAGCTCCTTAAAATAACTTCAAAATCAGGTGCGGAGGAGCACAAAGTTTCCTGACTCTTTGGAAGCAGAACTTGCCGGGGTTTATTCGGGTTTGCACGGGGAGGAATTTTGGCACTATTTGCTGAGGGGCTTGGTGAGTCGCGCCAAATGCCAGCACCAGGGTAGAAGAGGGCTAATAGATGGACCTCACCGCTGCAAACGCGTCTGTCAGCTGCTCTGACTCAAGCGTCACAGCTGGTCAGCCTAAGATACAAGGCAGGTCTCCTTGAAACACAAATCCAAGCCATGAATGGTCGTGGGCCGAGTCTAGGTGGTGCTTGCTTTCTTTCCCGTAGTGAAATGAATTCTCCATTTGGAAAAGGAGCAGAAGAAGTTACTGCAGTGCCTCTAGGTTGGCTTTTGTCCAAAGCTTGATCTGGTGATAAGATGGCACGATCCAGGCAGAGTCTTAGGTACCTATGCCCATCATGAGCATGATCTTTGGGCACATACTGGTGACGAACACAGCCTTTCTGCTTTTGCTGCCTTCTCCTTGTCAGGGTGATGCAATTAGCAAATCTGTGTAATTGTGAATGGGCAAAGAGGAAAGAAAATATTCTGCTGACGTCTCAGTGCAGAGGCAGCAATTGTGTGTGTGTGGCTTCAACGGAGGCGTAATCAAAAACCCCACCCATTACAAATCATCAAAGTTGGCGCTTTTGTATATCAAGATGTGTGTATGCTTATGCCCTAAATCTCCTTTTTCCTATATACCTAGGTGCTAATTCAATATAAACCGTAAAGGG